CTACATCGCTCACTGGCTTAAAACAGTCTCAGTGGTATCCCACTGTACTTACAGTAAAGTCCAAAATGCTTACTCTACTCTACAAGGCACTGTGGGCTGTCCCACCTTCCTCTCCATTTCATCTCCCACATCCTCCTTGATCACTCTGGTCCAGCCATTTGTGCCTCCATTTTCCTATTGAAATAATGGCCCGGTGCATGACATTCGTGCACTGGGAGGGGGGGGGTCCCCCTCAGCCCGGCCTGCACCCTCTCACAGTCTGGGACCCCTTGGGGGATGTCCACTGCACGGGGAGCGGGTCTCAGCTGGCAGGCGGACATCCCCTGAGGAATCCTTAGCGGCGTCCTTGGCACTGCCACAGAGGTGGGAGAGGCTCCTGCCACCACCACTGCGCTCGCCAGTGAGCCCGGCTTCTGGCTGAGCTGAGCTCCCCCTGTGGGAGCACACTGACCACCAGGGGGCAGCTCCTGCATTGAGTGTCTGGCCCCTGGTGGTCAGTGTGCCTCATAGTGACCAGTCATTCTGCAGTTTGGTCAATTTGCACATTAGGCTTTTATTATATAGGATTGCTATGTTGCTTGCTGCCTCAGGGCCATCACCTCCTCTGTTCCTATGGCCTGCATGCTCTTCCCTGGACTCTTTGTCTTATGAGTGATCCAACTGCTGAGTAAGTGTTCCCTCCATCTTCCATCTATTCTTAAAAGCACTTTTCCCAACTTGAAATTGCATATTTATTTGATAACATTTTTAAATTGCCCTCCCCCCCAAAAGACTGTAAGCCATGTGGGGAAGAGAAAACATCTTTGTTTTGCTTTTTCAAAAAAAAATTCAGCTTTACTGGGGTATAACTGTTATGCTTTTAACCACTGCATTCTCTGAGCTTAGCAATGGCCTGGCACATAATAGGGTTTGTTGGATACTTACTGACTCAGTGATGGAATATCAGGGTATTTCATCAACTCCAGTCTTCCCCTCGGACCATGAGCTCCTGAGGCAGGTTCAAGCTCATCTCTGGGTCCTCAGCCTCCAGCCCAGGGTTTGTCACTAAGGGGCACGTAGGAAATGTTTGAACTGAAGGAAATGGGGAATTGATGGGTTCCTTCAACAGAAAGAGTCCAATGCATTGCTGAGTATAAAAAATAGACTCTAAGGGCAGTGGGGGGTTGGGCTGTGGGCTGTGAGGAGATTCCAGTGTCCCTGAGTGGGCAGGGAATGGCTTTCTGCTGTCCACCGGAGGATGGAGAGCATTTCAGAGCTCTATGGAGGCCCATGGTGGAGTAGAGAAAGGGCAAGCTGCGAGGACAGGTCTGGCTTGAATCCTGCTCCCCCACTCACATGCTGTGTGACATGAGGCAAGTGGCTTCACCTTTCTGAGCTCCAATTCGTCGGTAGAAAGGGGATGATCACAGACCTTGCCTCCTGAGATTGTCATGAAGATTAGAAATAATGTATTGGCTCAATTAGCACGGACTAGACAGTGATGCCGCTGCTGAAATATTTTAAGTCCCTGGATGCTGGGTGCTCCTAAGCAGAACACGGGGTGGATACAGCTTGACCTTGCCTTGCCTTAGGACCACTGGAGAAGCAGCTCTGAGGGCAGGCCCCAGGCGAAGCAGGTGTGTAGACAGGAAATGAAGGCTCCAGCCCAGAAGCCAGCAAGGTGGGGAAGAAGTGGGCAAGCAGTGCCCAGGGCGGGCCAGGTGGGGTTTGATTTGAAAGTATTGGAGCCCATTGGAGGATGGCATGGCCATGTAGCAGGACCAGCCAGACATCCCTTTGTCTGAGTGTCTGTCTGCCACCCTCATCCTATTTTCCCATGTGTTTAGGCCCCTAAGCCAGCTTTCCCTGCCTCTCCTCTCCGCCCCCCCCACCCCCACCCCAAAGGCTGCCCTGGTCTGGGCTTCGCTGAAGGCCAATGTGCAGAGATGCAAAGGGAGGTTGTTGTCAATGAATGAATCTCAGTTCATCTTCGGGCTCAGCCATCCACTCAGTGTGGCCTAAAACCCAGTCTCTACCTGCTGCCACGCTGGGGGTCGGAGAGGCCTCTGGGCTCCCACGTGCTATCGCCCTACAGATTAGGCAGCAGTTACCCGCAAAGACCCCTCGGGTCCCCATGCAGCGCGGCGCGGGGACACAGCCAGGAGCTCAGTGGAGATGCCGCCAGACACAGCAGCATCTAGAAAGAGGCTGGGGAACGGAGCTGCAGACAGGGTCCCCAGGGGCAGCCGAGAGGAAGAGGCCGTGCTGGGGGCCCCGGGGGTGAAGAATCCTGCTCTGCTGTCCCCGGTGGGCTGACTGCTCCCCCCACACTCCCCGCCAGGCCCCTGGGGGACCTCGCTCTAATAATGTATTTGATCGACTCGCCGGCCGCGTACAAGCGATTATTGTCTTGTCGGGAGTCAAACGTATCGATCCGGTGAGAAATATGAGCGGAGCAATGGGGCCCGCGTGTCAGTTACCAGCCCCGCTGGCCCTGGGGAGCCCCCTGCGTCTCCTTTAATTACCGCTCAGCCCTGAGCCCAGCCTGGCCTCCCTGCGCAGCCTCCTGCCCAGGCTCCCTGCACCCCCCGGGGCCCCTGCTGCTCCCCAGCTCCTGTGCCCTACCTGTCTTGCTCAACATAGCTAGAGGCCTCTCTTCCAGCTGGGTGGCCACCATCCCCTGCACGGGCCCCCCATTCCTGGCTGCCAGGCCTACCCACCAGTGTGCCCCAAGCTCTGCTCCTCTGTCCTCCTTCAGGCGGGGGGCCTCTCACGCCCATTCTCCTTCAAGGTCCCCTGGCTCCTCAGGGACTCAGTTCTGGTCTGCCTGAGGCCATGAGAGCGGAGCCAACGCAGGAGGCCAGCGGGTGGGGCGCCTCCATCCACGGCTTTCCCCTTTCCCCTGCTCGGTACTCAGCTGCAGGCCTGGGAGGGCAGCTCGGAAATGAGCGAAGCTTCTCTCCTTGCTCACCAGAAAGGACTGCACCTGGTCACGTCCACGCTCCACACACGGGCGATAGTGACTATGTCCGGGGTGGAGCATGGGGGTGGCTTGTGGGGTTTGGTCCCCCATAGTGTCCTTATGACCCTCATTTCCAAATCCCCCAAAACGTAAATCCTAAATTGAAACAGAGCGTGCTGGGCAAATGGGCTTTAAGACAAGGATCCAGTACCCCACTGCCTGGTACCGGACTGCTGTCGGAAGACCCTCATGTATAGAAATTCTGTATGAGAGAGAGATGGAAAGAGAGGGGGCGGGGGGAAAGAGAGAGGGCGGGGGGAAAGAGAGAGAGAGAGAGAGAGAGAGGGAGAGAGAGAGAGAACGAGCAAGAGCAGGAGGCAGCAGATATGAGTTGGAGCTGAGTTGATGCTGGGTGGTCTGGATTTCCTCAGTGAAACGGCATTTACAGGACAGGATGGTGTGGAGTGTAGACAGCTGGGAACTGCCCCTCTGTGTGCAGCTGTAGGCACTGCTGGTCATTCCCATCAGGTGGGCCCGCCTGCCTGCCTGGGCGTGTCTGGGTGCTCAGGGCCCATGCAGACGGAAGGGCACGTGTGAAGATCTGCCTGTGTGTTATAGCCTGTGTGAGTGTGCATGGGTGTGAGTGAGGGCACATGCGGCCAGGAGCATGCCTGGCACACATGTGTAGATGTGCCCTTGTGCCATGTGTCAACGTGAGGGAGCAGAGGGGGTTCTGAACAGGCGAGTGGACAGGGAGTGTTGGTGTTGGAGCCGCTGCCCAGTGTTCCTGTGTCTACGTGTGCACACGTGTGTGTGTGTGTGTGTGTGGGTGTGTGTGAGGTGCTGGGGTCCGTGTGTAGAAATACTTGAATGTATGTGTGCGGGGGGAAGGGTGAGTCCAGGCGTCATTGTGCGCACGTGTGTTTTGGGGGTTCCCCAGCGTAGGCTAGCATAGTGAGTACGGCAGGGCCCGGAGGGCTGGTGGGCTGTTTGGAGGAGCCAGGCAGCCCCGCGGCTCGGACCCGGCACCGGGGTAGGGGTAAGGGGAGGCGAGGGGGGCGGGAGGAGAAGCGTGCAGCGCCTCGGCCGCGCCTTTGTCTGCGCCGCCGTGCACCCGGGAGTCCGACGCCTTTGTGTGACCCTCGCAGGTGTGCGCGCAGGGGCGAAGGAGGGGCGGGCGGGGAGGGGAGGGGAGGGGAGCGGAGGGAGGGGCTCCCTTCCCCGCAGCCGGCCCCGCCCTCCCGCCCATCGGCTGGGCGCGGCCGCCCTCTGGCGGGCGCGGAGGAAAGCTAGCCCGGAGCATCGCGGCGCCAAGGGCCAGCCCGCAGCCGGGGGACCGCGCTGCCCTCCACCCGAGCGGCCTCAGCGCCCGTGTTTGCCCCCGGCCGGCTTCTGGCTGCTCCAGGGCAAGGCCCGGACCTGCGCCTTCACTGCCGCCGCCCACGGGCGCCGCCTCCTCTCGGTGGAGGCCCGGACGCCTCACCTGCGGGCAGGTGTACGGCAGGGTCCCCCTTCCTCTCCCCCCCCTCCCCCCGCCCCCAGCCGGGCTGGAAACCCACCCGAACGCCTCCTCCTGCCGTGCTTTTCGGCTCTGAGCTCCTGCGACGCCACCCCAGCTCCCTGGTCCTCAGTCTTTCCTTCTGTGAAAGGGGCGAATAGTGATCGCGCAAGAGATGACCCTTGTCAAGCGTGAGCTGCAGGGCATGGCTTTGGGAAAGCCTTCTCCCCCTGCACCCCCCCGCCCCCCATAAAGCTTCTAGCCCTTTTTTTAGTGGTGTTGTCACGGGCCCACCTCTCTCCCAGCCCACACGCCCTAGTCCAGATCTGCCCTGGAGGCAGCACGGGGCTGGGGCGCTGTGGCAGGCACCTCCGGGGCACCGCTGTGGGATCCAGCTCTTCCAGCCTGCCCCGTGCCCCCCCCTCACACCCCCACTTCCCCTACAGACTTGACTTGGGGTCGCTGCCTGCAGGGGTGGGCCTTCCAGCAGGGTATTTTCCCTTCCGAAGGGGGCGGACCCTGCGGTTTCCTCCCGGGGTGACTTCCGGCAGAGAGGACTTGGCCCCCAGAGAGGGCGGGAGGTGACACAGTTGTTCCCCCAGCCCTGCGGGGCGGGCAGCACGGTTCACTCCAGCATGGGGGCTCCAGGTAAGGCCCGCGCCGCTGCGCAGAGTTAGGGCAGCTCCGCGGGGTTGGGCCCGCCCTGCCCTTCCTCCTTGGCTCTCTGTGCTTTCGCTCTGGTTCTCAGCAGCTTCCCCTTCCCACCCTGGTCCCCCTCCAGCTCGTTTTTCGTCTCCCCTTCCACAGCAGACACCTGGGGGCTCCCGACCTCTTCTCCCCATCTCTATCGCTCTGTCCCCAAGGCTCCCGGGGAGGGACACAAGCCGGGTTGGTGGGGGGCTCTTCTGTGGACCAGTGGGTGGGTGACAGGAGCCGGGGCTGCAGATGGGTGGGAAGGCTGAGCGAGTTGCTGGGCTTGAGGGTGTGCGGCCTGTGAGAGGCAGCGGCCGAGTCTCCAGGGTGTGATTGCCCCAGGGTGTGATTGCCGTGTGTCCGAGTGTGAGGGAGAGTGCGGGCTGTGGTGTGTGCCACGGGAGGGGTCACCTTAGCAGTGAGCTCTGGGCTCACTTCTTCACTTCACTGGCCTCAGCTGTCACCTCCTCAGGGAGGCCTTCCCTGACCTTCCCATCTGAGCTGGCAACTGATCCCGCCCCTCTCAGCCCCCTTGCCCCGCTTCGTCTTTTCTTCGTGGCACTTACCACCCCCGAAATGTTATATGTTCCTGTGCTTAGTAACTGCCCCCCCCCCCATGTCAGTTGACTGAGTGCACACTGAGCACCAGGTACTGCACGAGGCGGTGTGGGTTTGCTGCCTCGTCTGGTGTAATGTGTCTTTCTCTGCATAATGATAGTTATCTCTGCATGAGAGTGCTGATGGGAGACTTAAAGGAGGTAATATACATCAGTGCCTAACACAGTGCCTGGAACACTGTGTGACTGCTTTATTTGTGACCATGTAGGCACGACTGTGGGTATGTGTCTCATTCCTGGGTGTCTGTGGGGATGAGCCTTGCTTTGGTGCTTGCCATCCTGTGTGCATCGGTGTGTGTGATCCTTCATCAACATGTATTTATTCGGCAGTTCTGTGCGGGGTGTTGGAAATACAACTGAGAGGCAGCTTCAGTTCTATACCGCTGGAGTCCCCTGTCCAGTGGGAGAGACAGATCTGCCACCGGGAAGTGGAGCAGGCACAGGGGGGAGGGGAGTCAGGGCTGGGAGTCCGAGGCACAGGGGACTGTGGGGGCCCAGAAGACTTGTCCAGTTCGGTCTGTGGGGTGTCAGGGAAGGCTCCCTGGAGGAGGGGATGTCTGGGCTGACATGTGAAGGACTAGTGGCTGTGAGCACGGCAAAAAGGTGGGGAGGGGATTAAGATGGAAGGAAGACACCATTTAGGATCACGTGATTATTTATTGAAGTGATCATATGTGCAATCATGTATGTATGTTCGCGTACATTGTGGACACAGACGTCCAGGGCATCTGCACACACATACCGTTTGCTCCCTACTGACTAATCCCTGAATGGGGTTGAATGGGGGTCCTATACATGCCAGGCACTGGGTTAGACCCTTTACTTGGATTTCTCACTGAATTGGCCTGCCCGGGAGGCCTGCCCTGCGTCCCCCCGCCTCGACAGGAATCAATACATTGTGTGACCTGGGGCAGATCACTCATGCTGCCTGGTCTTGGGCTGCACATCCGTGGACTAAGTTCAGGGGTCCACCCTGGCCATCTCCCAGGCTGAGGTGGTTCTGGATGTGTAAGTGTGTGCATGTCTGTGTGTGCGTGTCTAGCTTAGTGACCTGGGTGTATCTGTGGATGCACATCTGCCTGTGAGTGACTCTGGGGTGTGAGTGTGTGCACACCTGTATCTATCTGTATATCTGTCTGTGAGTGACTCTGGGGTGTGAGTGTGTGCACATCTGTATCTATCTGTATATCTGTCTGTGAGTGACTCTGGGTGTGAGTTGTATGAACACTGTGTGTGTTTGTGTGTGTCTGAGTGACTCTGAATGGTGAGTGTGTACATGTCTGTCTGTGTGCCTATTTGAGTGATTGGATGTGTGTGCATGTCTGTCTGTGTGTCTGAGTGACCTGGATGTGAGTGTGTGTCTGTCTGTCGGTGAGTGACTCTGGATGTGTAAGTGTGGAATGGCCTTAAACAACCAACCAAACCTTCTGTGCAAATGGGTCTCGGTGTGTGAGTGCGTATAAGCAGGTGCAGGTGTGCACACTCATGTCTGGTGTGTTTTGCATATCTGCCCGTGTCATTGTGTCTGGGCCTTTGTCTTCATCTGCACACATGCCTGTCTGGGGTCTGTGCACACCCTGTGTGTGTTGCAGGTCTCTGTGTGTGGCTGGGACCCTGCCTGGTGTGTGTGCTGTGGCAGCTCTTGCCTGTTGTCAGCACAGCTGTGGGGCCACATCTCTTGTTGTGTCTGCCCGTATCTCCATCCCTCCCTCCTGACAGCTCAGAAGCATCCACTCCCTTGAGGCTGCCCAGGGACAGCTGTGGGGTTGTGGGGGTGTGAGGTGTGGTTCCTGAGAGGCTGGGACCAGGCCAGCTGGGCCCGCAGAGGTTCCCGGCAGCACCGACCCAGCCCAAAGGGGCTCCCAGGCCAAGCCTTGATTGAAGCAGGCTGTGGAGGCAGGGGACCCAGGGGACAGGCCAAGCGGGGCCAGGAGGGGTGAGGGGCAGCCCTAGGGCCCTCTATATTTAGCCCCATTTTCGGTAAGTGCTAACGAGAAGCTGACCCAAGTCTGCTAAAACTGGCTGGGGGAAATGCAGAGGAGAAGTGAAAGTCGGGTGGGAGGGGCGAGGAAGGGTGAGGAGTGGAGGGCAGCCAGAGTTCTAGGCCTGGGGCCATCGCTCGGGGCGAGGCCAGGGGATGTGGGCACCCTGGGTGGGTCTGACTCAGGATGGTGGGAAACAAGGGGCCCATAGGATCTGTACCGCGTTTCCCTTTTGGCTAAAAAGTTACACACTGCCTGGGAGGGGAGAAGGGCAGGATGGCCATAAGTAACCAGCCGAACTTTCTGTGTAAGTGAGGCTTTGAGTGGGACGTCAGAAGTTTCCAGGGGTGGGAGCACATGAGAATCACAGGGAAGGGGCCTTTTAAAAATCTGATACTGCCCAGCCGGTGAGACTCAGCATCGACCTATGAACCAGGAGGTCACGGTTCGATTCCTGGTCAGGGCACATCCCTGGGGGTGTGGGCTCCATCCCCAGTAGGGAACGTGCAGGAGGCAGCCCACCAATGATTCCCTCTCATCATTGATGTTTCTATCTCTCTCTCCCTCTCCCTTCCTCTCTGACATCAATAAAAATATATTTTAAAAAACCTGGTACTCAGGTTGCACCCTGTCCCAGTGAAATCTTGTCTGGTGTGGGAATAGCATTAGTATTTCTGTAGCCGAGAGAGGGGCGGGGGCAGCCCTGCCTGGGCCCAGGTGCCGAATGCCTGCGGGGTGGGCAGCTCAGTGGCCTCTTGATGGGCTTGTCGGTGCCCTCCGGTCTCCATTAGATCCTCGTTTGGCTTTGGGTTCCTGGTTGAAATGGAGCCCCTATTCGTCCTTGGAGGAAACGAGCCAGCGAGGCCTGGGTGAAGGGCAGCACTGGCCATTTTGCCATTGGCCCAGCCTACATGCCATGGTGTGTGTGTGGCGGGGCTGGAGGGGGGGCTAGGGACAACGAAGGAATCAGAGTGGTGGAAATGTCCCCTCAAACCGCTTTTGCCCCTTCAGCCACTATCCCTGCAGAGGGGGTGCCCTAAAGGTGCAGGTTAGAGCTGCTTGGTCCAGGTGTCAGGTGGCAGCAGGGACACAAGGGGCTTGTTTGGACAGGATTGGGTCCTGGTCCCTCCGAGAATCCTTCATGTATGTCTTCATTCCAAAGACATGGTCCCAGCCTGAGCAGCGATGGCTGTAGCCTGGGGCCACAGTCTGGGGCTAAGAGTCACTGCCCAGGTGGTCAGGGTATGTTAGGGGCAGGGGCATCCCAGATGAGAGGGACACTAAACACTTGGGGATTCAGGGAGGACCTCACAGACGAGGTGACATGTGAGCTGGGGCCTTAAAGGGGAGCAGGAGTTTGCTGCTAGAGAAGGAAAGGGTGGCCCCGGGTGGGAGAAGAGCAGAGGCAAAGGCCTGGAGGAGGGAGATCAGGGTTTGGGGCCACTCTTGTTTATTGGACCCACGTATCCTATGCTGGGCGGTGTCAGGCACCCCAAGATAAGACAGACATGTCCCCCCTCAAAAAATTAACGATTTGGGGTGACGCCCGAATCCTCACTGCTAATGTGAGATGAATTTTTGAGCGGGTAAAGGTTACCCCCTAGCCGAAACCGGTTTGGCTCAGTGGATAGAACGTCGGCTTGCGGACTGAAAGGTCCCAGGTTCGATTCCGGTCAAGGGCATGTACCTGGGTTGCGGGCACATCCCCAATAGGGGGTGTGCAGGAGGCAGCTGATCGATGTTTCTCTCTCATCGATGTTTCTAACTCTCTATCTCTCTCCCTTCCTCTCTGTAAAAAATCAATAAAATATATTAAAAAAAAAAAGTTACCCCTAAGGTGACAAGCCTACTCTGTGGGATGCCTGGGTGTTGCCATCTGCCCGGAAAAAAAAAGACAGAACTGTCCTTGAGGGGGTCCTAGTCTGATGGGGGAGACATACTGGGGCCCAAGTGGCTACAGCCTCTAGGACAGTGATAAAGAGATGCTGGGCCCGGACGGAGGGAGCAGGGGAGAGCTATCTGGGGGCATCGGGAGTGGTGACTTCATAGAGGATGGAACTTGTGCTGGGTCCTGAGGGATGAGTAGGAGGTCGCCAGGTAGACAGTGTTCCAGGCAGAGGGACCAGCTCATGACAAGGTCTCAGGAAATTTGGTGAAATGGCAGAGACAGGAGGATAGAGGCAGGGACAAGCAAGAGACAGAGCTGCAGGGAGGGGCATCAGCAAGCATTTATAATCTGTTTTTCTCGGTGGATGATGCCAGTGATGAGTCAGACCTAACTCTGCATCCTGGTCTGGTGGGAAAGGACTGGGACACAGGTGGCCACAGCCCTGTGAGCTCGGGGCTCGGACAATGGGAAGGCACAGCCTGGGAGGTGGTATTAGTTTGCTGGGGCTGCTATAACACATAGCACAACTGGGTGACTTAAACAACAGAAGTTAATTTTCTCAAAATTCTAGACCAGTGGCTCTCAACCTTCCTAATGCCGCAACCCTTTAATACAGTTCCTCATGTTGTGGTGACCCCCAATTTCATTGTTACAAATTGAACATAATTAAAGCATAGTGATTAATCACAAAAACAATATGTAATTATATATGTGTTTTCCGATGGTCTTAGGTGACCCCTGTGAAAGGGTCGTTTGACCCCCAAAGGGGTCGCCACCCACAGGTTGAGAATTGCTGTTCTAGATGCTACTAGGCCGGTGTGGCTCAGTGGTTGAGCATTGACCCATGAACCAGGAGGTCACGGTTTGATTCTCCGTCAGGGGTTGTGGGCTTGGTCCCCAGTGTGGGGTGTGCAGGAGGCAGCCTATCAGTGATTCTCATCATTGATGTTCCTATTCCTCTCTCCCTCTCCCTTCCTCTCTCTGAAATCAATAAAAACATACATTTTTAAAAAAATTCTGGAAGCTAGAAGTCCAAGGTCAAGATGTTAACAAGGCTGGTTTCTTCTGAGGCCTCTCTCCACATACAGTCACATTCTGTGGTTCTGGGGGTTAGGGCTTCGACATATGAATGTTGGGGGACACAACGTAACCCGTAGCAGAGGCCAAGGATGAGCACAGACTCTCTGGGATGGAGGCAAGGTCAGAGGCTGCCCGGGGCTGTGGCAGGAGTGGCATCCACCGGCCAGGCGGGTAGCAGAGAACCTGCAAGGTCTGGACTCCCCGTGAAGCAGAAGCCCAAGCAGAAGGAGTGCCTAGTGTGGTGGAAGAGCATGATGCATGAGTGGTTAGAGATGGCAGTGGAGGGTGGCAGGGGCCACACCCCAATGCCAGGCCAAGGAGCCTGGGCTCTTGGGGGAGATGGGGAGCCAGGGGAGGGTTCAGTGCCAGGAAGCGCTGGATGTGGGATCTCCCTGGGGTGCTGTGGACACTGGCTGGAGGGAGGGGACTGGGCTGGGCAGGGGTGCCAGGGATGCTAGGAGGGGTGGAATTTAGGGCTGCCTGAGGGTTAGCTGTTGCTCGGAGCAGGGCCAAGGGCTGAGAAGCAGGACCTCACCACAGCTCCCTTTGTGCCCTCCTATGTTTCAGGATGTTGGCCACTCGGTGCCCTGTCCCCAGTGCCCAGGGCCTGAGCTCCCATACCGTCCTGGGCACCCATTGCCCACCCCACCCTCACCAGCCTACACCTTTAATAGGACTATGTGCTGGCTTATTCTTTTTTCTTTTTTTTTTGGTTTTGAAACGTTTTCTTTTTTTGTGAAAACATAACATACTCATAGGAAAGTGCCCAGGTTTTAAGGGTACAGCCTGAAGAACTTCCACGTGTGTACAAACTCACGTCAGCTCCCACAGGTCACGACGCGGACCCTTTCCAGCCCCTTCAGCCTTCCTCATGCCCTGTCCCGGTCGCACCCCCCAAAGGTACCCACCCGCCTGACCTTGATCATCGGATATCATCTCGCCCCTTTCTGAGCTTCGGGTAACTGGAGTCCTACTGTCCGCTTTTGTGTCCGGCGTCCTCCCCTCGGCGTCAGGTCTGTGAGATCCGGCGGTCTGAGATGCAGGAGCGTGTGCTTTCCCTGCTGCGGCGTATTTCCTGTGTGGACAGACCGCAATTTGTTGACCCGTTCCCCTGTTGACAGGCCCTGGAGCAGTGGTTCTCGACCTTGGCTGCACATTAGAATCAGCTGGGAATCTTTTTAAAATCCTGATTTCTGGGCCTCATCTGCATCAGGAGTTTAAAAAGATTCCCAGGTGATTCTAATGTGCAACCAAGGTTGAGGGCCACTGCCCTGGAGTTCTTTCCAGTTCAGGGCCTTTCCTGAAGGGCTGCTGGGAACACGTGCACCTGTGGGCATCGGTGGCCGGGAGGCCGGGAGTGGACGTGCGGAGTTGTAGGAGGGGCCACCTCTTAGCTGCCCTGACTTGTGCTCGTATTGGTTTGCACTCCCACCAACAGGGTGTGGCCTGGCTTTTTAATCAGGAATATTACACCTGAGTGACGTTTTGTGTCGAGTAATCTTCAGTTGCAGAATTCCTGGACTTCTCAGTTGCTGAGGGTGTCCCTGCTCTCTCTTCAGCCGGCCTTATTGAAATATCGGTGCCGAGCACACTGGAGTTGGACAGCTCCTTTGATGGGGAGGGATCACGGTGGGTTTTGGAGAGGCTGTGGGAGACACATTTGGGTCTGAGTCAGGATCATGAGTACGGTCTGAGGCCAATTTGGGAATCGAGTCCAAATGAAGGTCTTGGACTCTTTGGATGGGAGTTGGGGTCCAGGGTGGGTAAGGGGATTGAGAACGGGTCAGGCAGAAGCCCAGATTTGGGGTGAGGGGGTGAGGGGGGGGGTCTAGAACCAGGAAGGATTGGTCTGGAGTCAGTGTCAGGGTGAGATTGGGTGGGGTGACTGTTGGAGGTGAGGTGGGTGGAAGTCAGGGCTGGGGTTCATTAGCCTGCAGCAGCCCTGATTAAAAGCAGGAACCCTGCCCGGCTGGCGTGACTCAGTGGTTGAGCATCGACCCATGAACCAAGTCATGGTTCAATTTCTGGTCGGGGCACATGCCCGCCCCCACCCCCCGTCAAAGGCTCGATCCCCAGTGTGGGGCTGCAGGAGGCAGTCTATCAATAATTCTCTCTCATCATTGATGTTTCTGTCACCTCTCCCTCTCCCTTCCTCTCTGAAATCAATAAAAACATATTTTTTAAAAGCAGGAACCCTGGAGCCACGGAGGCTGGTGTCCAATCTCTACTGTCTCACTGCTTTTGGGGAGGTGACACCCCCTCAGAGCCTCCTTCCCTTCCCTGTGAGAGTGGGGTGATATTAGCACCAACTACTAGCGTGAGTTTGGAGGCGCACTCAGCCTGTGCTTGGCACTGGTAAGCACTCGGCCTTCCATGGTCAGCATCAGAGCGCTAGGACAGGGCACGGTCTCCATTGCATTGTGTCCCCTGGTGCCACCTCCCCTGGATACTTCCCTTCATTTCCGGGGTCTACAGAACTATAGAAAAGGATTGCATTTTAGGGGCCAGGTATCTTGCTGGGATTTGGGGGTGCAGTTGGAATTCAAGACTGAAAGCCCAGGTGAGGTCTAGGATTAGGTTTGAGGACAAGGTCGGGGGCAGAGCCGGAAGGAGCTGGAGCTGGAGTTACTGAGATCAGAGTGGGGCTGCCCCTCTGGTGCGCCTGTGCACGAATACAAGAGGGGAGGCGGGGGGGGGGGGGGGAGGTGCCGAGGGAAAGTGGTGGGCCGGGGGGAGCCCGGTGCTGAATGGAATGGGGGGCTGGGGGGCGGTGAGGTGCGGAGGGAAAGTGGTGGGCCGGGGAGACCGGTGCTGAATCACACCGGGGATCTTAAGACGCACTCCTTTGGGGATGCTGCCGTCCTGTCACATCCCCCAGGCCCCGCTCAGAGTGGAAAACACGCCTCAGCTGAAACCTGGTGAGGCAGGACGGCCCTGGTGCCTGGGCGGCGCCTGAGCAGAGGCCACGGCTGAGCCTCTCCTTTGGAACCTCAGCAACCTCCTCCCGGGCAGCCAGGCAGCCAGGTCTCTCGGGACCCCTGACCACAGTCTACATCCTGCCCTGCCCCGCAGCCTGCCGGGGCCACCCTCCCTGTGCACCTTCCGAGGGTGGAAAGGATCAGGCAGGAGCCTCAAGGCCTGAAGGCCCCTCGCTTGTCCTCCCAGCGAAGGGCAGAGGCCCCGAACGGAGGGCATGTCTCCCAGAAAGAGACACTTGCCAGGTGGCAGGGGATGAGGGGTTTGGGGAGAGGCTGCGGTGGTGCTGGAGGAAGGGCCGGGAGCTTGTCCTTCCTCACCCACTTCTATCCTCCTCTGTCCCAGAAATAAGAATGTCTAAGCCCCGGGAGGCCGAGAAGCAAGGTCTGGACTCCCTGTCAGAGCCCACAGGTGTGTGGGAATTAGAGGGTGGGCAGTGTGGGTGGTGGGAGCTTGGGGGCAGTGGGTGACACCTCCCGCTCCCCCTCTCATTGCAGACACTGAAAGAAACGGACCCGGCACTAATCACCAGGTCAGGGGGCGTGGATGAGCCGGGGGTGGAGAGGTGAGAAGGGAGCAGAAGGAGGCTGTGGGGGTGGGGGGGGGGGGCACAGGTGTCAGAAGCTGATTCATCTCACTGATCCCATCCCCACCCCAACATTCTCTTCACAAAACCCCCAGAATAAGACCTCCCCATTCTCCGTGTCCCCAACTGGCCCTGGCACCAAGGTAAGCACCTGTCAGAGCAGCCAGGGGAAGGGGAGAGGGGTGCTCGGTGATAGGTGGCAGTTGCTTTTGGAAGTGTCCCTCAGGTCTGTCATGGGCCCAGGGCTGAAGGGGGCACCTAGCCCTGGTACCTTGGTGACAAAGCTCCTCCCACCCCTTCTCACCCTCGGGCTCCCGCCCCAGGCTTGTGACTCACCCGGGCTCCTTCCCCTTCCCTGTGGGGTGGGCATGGCCAGGGAAATCCCCCCCCCCAAGAGCCCCAGGGCGATGAACAACAGGAAGCTGAGGGCCCGCCCCCATCCCAACTTCCCTGACTGAACTAGGGCCTGCCTCACTCCAACCTCTGCCCCCAACAAACACTCAGGGGGTGGGGTGTAGGAGGTGGAGGAGTCAGGGGGAGGCAGACCCAGTGAGGATGGCTGGGGGACCGATCAGATGCTGTAGGAGAGGACGCTGGGGAGGCCGGAAATGGCCAAACAGAGCAAATCCCAAATCTAGATGGGGCCCTGCTGCTGGGCCCTGCTGGGCTTCCGGGGTGTCTGGGGCCCAGGTCTCTATTGTCCAGCTGAGTGGGGCAGTCAGCAGGTCCAGAGGCCTGAAGGCAGCACAGCGGGCAGGGGTGTGGGCAGGACTCCAGGTGGCAGAAGGATGGTGAGGGGCTGGGGGCTGCTCTGTGACTGTGGGAAAGTCACTTCCCCTCTCTGGGCTTCTCAGTTTCCTCTTCTCTAATGGGGATGAGGGGGTGGACAGTCAGATTAGCTGACGTCCCTCCACAGCTAGCGTGCCCCGAGGACGTCGATGGGCAGTGTCTTGTCCCGAGCGAGTTGGACAGGGCCCAGGGGAGAAGGTGTCCAGCTGGACCTCCCTCCCTCCGATCTCGGGTTTGGCTCTGACCTTAGCCTTCAGAGCGTGCATCTCCTCCACGCCCTTCTTCCTCAGCTGAATCTTTGCAGCCCGTCCTGCCCCATTGCAGCCCGGTTTCTCTGTGGTGAAACCAGTGGGCCCGGGGGTAGGAGGGGTTCTCGCTCCCCTTCCCAGGCCTGCGCCCTGGTCCCAGGAAAAGCTCAAGGCTGCCCCGCCCTGGGCCTCTGCCTCCCCCTCCATCTCTCCCGTCAGTCTTGTCCTAACTGCAGGCTTCACGCGCTCCCATCACGATTTCAGACAAATCCACACCCATCAGGTACAATTATTTACATCAGACCTTTGTTAATTGGCTCGATTTTTTTAAAAACATTTTATTTGGGGGAATGTGAAGCTGATACAAAAGTAGAAAGAAGAACATAATGAAAATAACCTCCCAGGCACCCATCCGGCAGCTTCGACAGCCACCGACTCATGAGCCAGCTTCTCTTTCAACCGCTGAAATAAACATTTTTTAAAATGGAAATTTCATGAATGGAAAACCAAAATCACTTGCCATGGAAATAAATATAGTGATTGTTAAAATGTACCCAGAGACGCTTGCCTGCATGTAGGGGCCTAAGCATGAGGCCTGCCCTCAGTTGACAGGGGAGTTGGCCAACTTTGGGAGGTGTTGGAGCCGTCCTAGCACCTGACAGAGACTTTCTTAAGAGCTGGGAATAATGAAAGAACTCAAAGGAGGACTAGTGTTCTCGCCATGGCTATCAATGCTGTGTGGTTTTTAAAAACTTTTTAATTGACATATGACACACACATGATCCTCAGTGTATATACAACTGGCTTTTCACCAAAGCAAGACGCAAACACGACCAGACTTCCAGGAGCGCCTTCCTTCCCGCCAAGGATTCAGCCACGGCCTGGCTTTTCATACTCACTGTTGTTTCATGCTGCACCCTGCACCGCTGAAACTTTCTGACATTTGTACTTGGGGGCATGCCATTCACCCTGTATTATTTGGCGGCCTGGCTTTCCGGAGGAGGGTCTCTGTCTGTCTGTCAGTCACAGTGTGCATTCCAGATGCCATGCCTCTGCCAAGCTGCGGTGTCCCTTTCCTGTGGACCTTTTTTCTGGGACATTGGGCTGCAGTGTGTGATTCATCAAGCCGGTCCTCCTCCCATCCCCATGTGTCCTTTACCAACAAACCCTCCCCCACCTCCCACCCCAGGCGAGCCCACCGTCTGGCTGTTTGTGTAGGAGAGGAAGGAGGCCAGGGCTGCTTTATGCTGGTCTGCCCTAGGTGTTTTTTGTTGTTGTTAATTCTCAGCTGTGGACACATTTTCCATTGATTTTTAGAGAGAGTGGAGGGGGGGGGGAGAGAGAGTGGAGGGGGGGAGAGAGAGAGAAACATCAATGTGAGAGAGACACATCAATTGGTTGCCTCCCTCAGGCACCCCAACTGGGGCTGGGTATCGAACCTGCGACCCAGGTACATGCCCTTGACCAGGAATCAAACCCAAGACCCTTCGGTGAGCAGGCCGACGCTCTAACCACTGAGCAGCCGGCCAGGGCTGCCCTATGCTTTTGGTGCGAGGTGCCTCCACATCCTATGGAGAAATGAGGAGGAGCTGAGGGGCCCTGGGCGTGCAGGCTGCCAGCTGGCGGTGCCTGGGCCACCTCGGGCTGCAGGTGTATTTTCTTTGTCCAGCAGCATTCTTGCTTTAGATTTCTATTATTTTTTAAAAATATATTTTAATTAATTTTAGAGAGGAAGGGAGAAGGAGAGGGAAACAGAAACATCAATGATGAGAGACAATCATTGATTGGCTGCCTCCTGCACGCCCCCTACTAGGTATCGAGCCGGCAACCTGAGCATGTGCCCTTTACCAGAATCAAACCTGGGACCCTTCAGTCCATAGTCTGACACTCTATCCACTGAGCCAAACTGGCTAGGGCTGTGCTTTAGATTTTAAAATCTACCGCTGGCAGGAGCAGAGTAGGAGGTGGGCAGATCTGCTCTGTGGGTGGACGGGCGGGTAGTCCCTCTAGTCCGCCCATCATCCACTGCCCACCTCACCCGTTTGTGCTGTCTGCATTTGAAGTTGTGACCCATGTTCTAAAGCCATGGGTGGTTGTTTTTTTTACTACCCTTAGGCCCTTTGTTCCAATAAAATCTTACTCCACTGGTGAAATAAGAGATGTACCTGTATCTGAACAGATGAGGGCTGTGGGACCCAGACCCCCTTGTTTGAGATCCCAGGGCCCCATGGCATCATTTCTCATTTTACAAACAGGGAAACTGGCTCCCAAGAGGGGACAAGTGCTCTTCAAAGGTGGCCCTCCTCTGTGGGGAGTGTGGGTGCAGGGGGTGTGGTAGCCCATCTAACTGATGAGGAAACAGGCCAGAGGGGTGGTGGCCTGAGCACCCAGCTGGTCAGTGCAGGGTCTGACCTCTTTACCCCTGTTCATTTTTCCTGTGCTGGCTGGAGGCTGCTGTTGCCACACTCATGCCCTCTCTTTGGTTCACAGGTGGGCATTCTCTCTGGCCTCTACTTAACATTCTGGGGTCCTAGACCCTGCCTCTCTCCCCCCCAGATCAAGGCTGAAGACCCCAGTGGTGACTCAGCCCCAGCAGCACCCCCGCCCCCCCAGCCGGCTCAGCCACATCTGCCCCAGGCCCAGCTCATGCTGACGGGCAGCCAGCTCGCCGGGGTAAGTACTCGGGGAGGACGGGCCAGGGGCACAGGCCAGCCGCCTCCATCTGTTACAGGACCATGGCCTGGGTGTCCCTCCAGGGCCACGGCCACTCTCTGCCGCCTGCCTCTTGCCCTCCTCTGCCTCCCGGAAGACTTGCCCCCTCACCTGTCTGGCTCGGGTACTAACCTCTCTCTGCCTTCTCTGCTCCTCCCCATGCCCTCCTGTGCCCGCTGCCCCACCTGCCCCGCAGCTCACGGCGCTGATGCCAGCTCAGCAGCAGCTCCTCCTGCAGCAAGCGCAGGCCCAGCTCCTGGCCGCCGCCGTGCAACAGTCCAATGCTGCTGCCGCTGCCGCCGCCGCCTCCTCCACCTCCTCTTCCTCTTCTTCCTCCTCCTCCTCTGCCTCCTCCTCGACCTCGCAGCCCCCAGCCTCCTCTGGGGGAGGCGACCTGCCACCACCACAGCCTGCCAGCCAGCCCCCTGGGACCCCACAGCTCACCCTGTCCCAGCCCATCCAGCTCACAGCACAGGTAAGGGCAGCCGGGAGCCCAGTCCCCCAGCGGAGGACCCGCAGGGCTGTGCAGGGGCTGACTGGGCCTTGTGGCCTCGTTCCTACCAACAACCACATGCCAGGCAGTTCCCGGCAACCCTAGGAAGCCTTGGCAGATGCAGCCCTGTCTCTCAGAGGGCAGCAAAGCTCAGAGATGGAAGGCCCGGCTGAGTGCTTCCTATGCGTCTGGCTGGGGCCCCAGCCATCTGGGAGGCTGGCAGGGAGGCCAGGAGTCACCCATGGACGCTACCTGTGTGGGTGCAAATCCAAAGGCTGAGAATCAGAATTAGGGCCTCCCATTGGATCCCCAGCTCGGCCGGTGAATGAATCGCTCTTTCAGAAAAGGGGCTTGTGATCTCGGAGTTAGGCAGGCCTGCATCCTTTCTCCCCATTCTGGAGACTTCCAGACAAATCCTGTTTGGATTTGTGGGCTGTGTTGCTTTCCTAGGACAACATGACCAAGTTCCCAAACCCGTGGCTTCAAACCACATAAAGTATTGTCTCAGACCAGAAGTGTGTGTGTGGGGGAGGTTGTTGCGGAAATCCTTGGTGTCTTGTAGGTGGGTTGCTCCAATCTCTCCCTCCACCATCTTCTTTCTGTGGGTGTCTCTCTCTGTATCCAAAGTCCCCCGTCTTATAAGGACACCAATCATTAGACGAGGGACCACCCCAACGACCTCATTTTAACTTGACGACATCTGCACAGACCCTGTTTTCAAGGAAGGTCATATTTACAGGCCACGGGTTAGGAAGTCCAACGTATCTTTTTTGGGGACACAATTCAACCCATGACTGTGGCCAACAGAGTTGCCTAAGGATCATCAGTGGGAGCAGAGCGGGAGCTGGGCAGACCTCCCCTCCCGCTGGGCCTGCTCTGTCCGACCACATCAGCACGTCGCCCTTCTGGGCGAATGCCTGGTGTCTGGGAGCATCTGAGTCTCCGGCCCGTGTTCCCAGGTGGTGGAGGTCCTGAGAAGTTTAAAGCAGGGAATCCCTTAGCCCCGGGCTTCCCACGAGGACTGCTCTGCAGACGGCTTTCTCTCTCCCCACCCCTTCACGGAACCCCAGGCAGGTGCTGCTGCGCCAGGGCACTGTCCGGTGCCCATGAGGCTGTTCCCTTGACAGGGTTGTGCCTCCCATGGGCCTCTCCACTACTGACCAGCACGCCCATCTGAGACTGTCCTTCACCCTGAGCTGGTGTCTGCCTCCTTAGAGCTCCTGCCTCTGGGCCTGGTTCCCCAGGAACCCACAGAGCCATCCATGGCCACGGCTCCATAACGGCTCTTCCAGACGTAGCCTCCCAGTGCTGGGCTCGCCATGGTAACCATAACCAGAGCCTGTTCGGTGCTGCCTTGGTGCCAGGCACCATGCTAATGTGAAGGCCTTGAATCCACAAATCACCACGGCCGAGGCTCTGAGGGGCAAAGCCAGGTGCCTGCCCTAGGTCGCACCATGAGCATGGGTGGCAGAGCGGCCTGGGGGTCCAGTGTTCTAACCACAGGATCTGGGTTAGGACAGCTGCTTTTGGCTGTCCTTCAAGGGATATGTGTCTTGTGCTTCCACCCCGGCCTCCAGACACCCCAGCAGCAGGCATTCCGTCTCCTCGGAGCACACACGGCCCCTCACAGAGCAACACGGAGGCTCAGGGCTCTGCACTAGGTCTTGACTCTTGGTGTCCCTGCTCTTGTCCTTCTTCCCACCTGGAAGTCAGCTTCCTCCCTTTCCCTGGACAGCTCCTCGTCCTCCTTCAAGCCCCAGCTCGGGGGGTCCACACCTCCAGGAAGTTTTCAGTGGCGTTTGCTTTCCTGTCTCTTGCCTCCGCCTCGGGGGTCCACAGCCCAGGCCTCTCCTTCTGATCGCCAGGCTGCGTCCCAGGATGGAAGGAACAAAGATGACAGGAGGAAGGAAGGCAGGGCAGCCTCGTGCAGACACCCCTTGTGTTGATGCACCCCTAGAACCGCGTCCCCCAGGCTCCCAGTGGACCCCGCAGTGGGCTGACCCGTCACCTGCCATCCCACCAGGCCCGATTCTCAAGGCCTCCTGAACCCCACGCTGCCAAGCGCATTCCTCTCGCTCCTCCCACGCCCGCTTCCCTCAGCTCTCACCTTCCCTGTCCATCTTCTGCTAATGCAAAGCTGGGCCAAGTTCGTTTTCTGGGAGTTCTGTCGCCCGTGACCTCTTTCCACAACAGACAAACGGATTTTCTGTTCCCTGTTCGGCCGGCACCATGCTGGGCCCGGGCTGTGGCGAGGACCAGGCTCCTCCTGCCCTGGCTGTCCACGCGCGTGGCTGGCCCCTCTCCAGCCTGTGTCTCATGCCCACAATTCCACGTTCCGTGCCACTCAGCTCTGTCCTGTGATCACGTCACAGACATCTCCAGCCTCCTGGGTGCCGGGCCCGGGGTGACTCACACCCAGCCTGGCCCCCGAGGGCTCCCATCTTGTAGGGAAACAGACACACCGATGAACCACTAGGAAATGTTATGAAAATACTAGGAAAGTCAAAATCACCCGTGACCCCACCACTTTAAAAGGATAACAAGTACGAAGGGGAGGTCCCCTCTAAGGCCAGCTTCCAATGTCGGTGAGCAGGGTCCTCCCTGCGTTCTCCTAGCTTACACAGACACAGGGACGATTACCACACACTTTTGTAACTTGTGTGTCCAGCGCTCGGCACGATGCCTGCCACCGAGGGGGCCGCACGGGTGTTTGCTGAATCAATGAGGGATGTTTTGCTGCAGCTTTTCAATCGAGTAGAGCAGACAGCTCCCCAGGGGAGTCATTCAGAACATCTGGGGTAGGCAGAGGCACTGATTGAAAATTTACATGAACTGTTAAAACATCATTTTGTACTTGAAGAGTGGAAAAAAAATCCCTATTTTCGTAATATGACCGTGGCAAATAGAGCATGACAAAAATCTTTTAGGCGGGCAGGGCCTAGTGAATAAAGGTTTCCCAGAGAAACCTACTGGGTGTGGTGGGCAGAGAAAGGCGGCCACCTCTGTGTGTGGGAGTCGGGGACGCTGCCAGTGGCGGCGGTCCCTGCACCAAGGTGGGGCGAATAGAGTTTACCAGGTGGATGAGCTGAAGAAAGGGATTCCGGGCCGTGGGAATGGGGAGTTCTAAGAGAGCAGGGTGGGCTCGGGGCCGGGAGCGGGAGCCAGAGTTGGAAGACAGTGAAGGATGAGCTGGGAGGGGGTGTCAGCCGGGCCACTCAGGCAGCTGAAAAGAAAAGGGAATATTTGGCTTATGTCACTGAAAAGGCCCAGCCTGCAACGCCAGGCCTGCCCCAGGAAGACCTCCCTGTTGGTTCTGGGGAGGGCAAAATGGGTGCCAGAACTGAGACTGGCAGCCACCTGCCCAGGGAGATAGCACACCCAGTGGCCAGCTTTGAGTCTGTGGCCCCACTCCTGAGATGGGGGCTTAGCCGAACCTGGACCGTGTGACCTGGGAGTGGGGCAGAGCAAGCCCCCAAAGGGAAGAGATGGGTCCAATTGCTTGAAGAACGGGTAGCGGGTGCCAGGCCAGCCAAACCACCCACCTGGAGGGTGTTGTCAGTGTACCCAGGGGCCTAGGGGCCCAGGGGCCCAGGAGCGCCGGCCCCTCCGCAGTTCCCGGGGCGGGATCTGCTGTGGCACTTTAGCGTGAGGCAGCAGGGGCGTAACACACAGTCCACGTGGCTTTCCTTCCTGTTGAGTGGTTCTCTGTGCTGTGATGCTCTGTCCCAATCGCTGGCACTTCCTGGGCTCCATGTGCCAGGGCCAGCCTCCAGGGGCCATTGGTGCACAGGAGAGCCCGTGCTAGAGACAGGCACCTCTGTTCACGCCACCCCACCTCCCACTTTTACTAGTGGAGTGGCTTCTCCTAGTGGAGTGGCTGGAAAAAATCACAGTCATTTACTGGTATTCATTCAACTCATACTCATTGAGCACCATGTGCATGCCAGGTGCCCACTCACGGCCCAGAGGGACAGCTGTGAACAAGGCAGAGGTGGCTGCCCGTGAGGACCTTATGTTCCAGGGGGAGACAGACAGTAAACAAGTAAACAAACCAGCAAAACGAGACTTTTTTAGAGTAAGTGTAATGAAGAAAATGAAACTGGGTGGTGCCGTAGAGGAAGGAAGCCACTTTTAATAGGGCAGTCAGGAAAGGTTTCACTGCGAGGGTGGCCTGTGAGAGCCGAGGCCGGAATGAGTCAGCCCCCAAGAAGCCAGGGGGAGAGCTTAGGGAAAGGCAATGGCAAGTGCAAAGGTCCTGAGGCAGAAACCAGCCTGACTTGTTCCCGGCACAGAGGAAGGTGGTATGGCTGGAGCAAAGAGAGTGAGTGGAAGACAAATAAGAGGTGATGGAGAGGCAGGCAGGACCAGGTGTCTCAGGGCCTTGTAGGGCCCAGCCCGATCAAGAAATGCAAAATGAATGATCAGTGTGATGGGAAACTATTGGGGTTTTTTAAATAGGTGAGTGGCATGACCCAACTGACCCTTGAAAAAGCTCTCTCCAAGTGCTGCGGGGAGAGTGGACTGTGGAGGACGGGAGTGGAAGCGAGGAGCCCAGTCCTTGTAGGCATCCAGGTGGGAGATGCGGTGATGGTGGGTGGCCAGGGGGTATGGTTCGGATAGGTCAATGGTGACTCCTGGGACTTTGGCTTCAGCATCTGTGTGATGATCAGGGGGTTTTCTGAGATGGGCAAGATGGGGGGAACCGGGTGTTTTGGAGGGCTGGGGCAGGGAACCAGGAGTTTCGCTTTGGACCTGGTAGGGTGTGAAGAGTCTTAGCCATCTAGGGAGAGGCACCCAATAGGCAGGCGGATATGTGAGGCTGGAGCTCAGTGGAGAGTCTGTGTGGGCACTGGAAGTTGTGAGTCGTCACAACATAATTTATGTGGAATCGATGGCCAGATGGGGCTTCCGCCCTCGAGAGCTTGTGGGGTGACATGAGGGTGCAGGGGTAGCAAATGGTCATGCTGGAGGACTGTGTTGAT